TTTTTTTTTACTTTGCGATAGGAATACCAGTAGTCGAAGCCATGGAAAACCTAAAGAAATGCTATTTTTTCTCTCCTCCAAATAAATTCTGTGAATATTACAGGGCTTCCACATTTTAAGCAATTTTTGCTTAAAGGATCTATACCTCTAACAATACCATACGCTAGATTACTTGACTTCTAATATCAGAGCGTTCCCTACAGAGGCCGGGTTGTTTCGTTTATATTAAACACACACGGAGTTAAAGTAGACTGTCACAAGTTCGCCTTAGCGGCCCATAGAATTCCCTCCACTTAATAATGTAAACAAGTTTTACTGAGTGTTATGGGACCAAAGTGAAACCTTTTCTTTTATAGGAAATATGCACGTGATACATTCTAGTAAATTTGATTTGGTTACAGCAAAAATTCAATTCCAGTTCTGGTTCCCTCTTTCTCTATCATAGAAAAATTATTTTAGATAGGCCTGTTTATTTGGAGCATATCATGGTACTAAAATTCACTTGAAAAAGTCGTAATTTGTGTTTTTCCAGTTAATATATAAGAAGCAACTTTAATTTCAAAACCTAAAGCTTGAGAAAAGTAGTTTGACAAAATTATTTTTGATTTTATGCCTTATAGAAATGTAAAATTTTAAAACTTCTTTATACTGCAACCAAAATCTCAGAAAAGGAAGCATGTGGTGACAGGACGGAGTTCAATGTATAACTCCGAAAGTAAAATTAGACTGAGTTCCCATTTATCCACAGGTTTTTTAAACAAATGATCAAGAGTTATAAATTTTTCATTCAATCGAATAGGCAACCGTCGGTCAACTATTTGTTTATTCAATAAATCATTTAATCATATATTCATTATTCATTTTTTTTCCATATATATATATATATTTATTTATTTATTTATGCATACGTTCATTCTTCCACTTTCTTGTTCAATCATTCATTTATTCATTCACCCAATCATTGTTTCTTGGAAAGGCAGCATTCCTTTATACGTCACCTTCTAGTACATCTGTGAGAAGCACTTCCGTGGCGATCATCAAGGCGTCTCGATGTTCACAGGTCTACGAGCACATAATCACTTTGGCCGCCCTAATTTCGATGCGTTCTTCTCTTATATGCAGAATGTACATCACGATGTGAGCTTTTTCGTTATCACTACCATTTTACAGAAATTTTTCAAAAAAATTCTATGACTGTTAAAATTATTAATATATCGCGTCTTTTAGACACCAGACATCGGGGTATTCAGTTGCGGTCCATCGTCACTCAATGATCAGATCAGTTCGGCCTGTGCTCGTGCTAACCGTGCTCGAAATGCACCTTCTTTTATGCACAGATTCGAAACATTTTAATCGTAATTCTTCATCTGTACCATTTGAAAAACGAAATAGGGACAAAAGTTACACTATTTTCTTACAAATTCCTGCCTTCTATGCTTTATAGCAAAACTGCTAATACGTATTTCCAAATAATGCGTTGATTACTTTCTAAAAAGGCTAGCTATTTTCCAAAAGGAAGAACTCGCATATTCATCAAGATTCCGTGTATACTATAAGACTTATTTGTATATTCCATGTGCTCAACTGTGATACTGCTAACCTTCAAACTTACTCTGCCTTGTAATAAATATAATAAGTTTGTTGGTTTTGGGATGATGGTACCTCTCCTCCTTCTCCAAATTTGTCACAACCTAAGCGAACTGTACTCGTGAGCGCTCTGAACGTGATGAAGGGTAGGTTAGAGGTTGTGCAGGCGTCAACGGCGCTCATATCCACTGTATTATCATTGCATTTTTTTACCGCACATATTTAATTACCTGATATTCATTTCCGCAAGCGGGAGGTTAGTTTGAGCCACATTAAATGAAATTGTGACCGAAGGGAACAACGAACTTGTTAGTGAAAATTGGTTCTTTTACTTCCCCTATGATGGTTCGGCTTATCGGGGTACATATACTTTCTTTCCATCTAAATTCAATTAAGTTTTAGCTCCTTATCTTGACCACATTAGTACTCAATTTACCCCTTCCACTTGCTTCATTCCTACTCCTTATGTGACACCCTACGCGAAATCAAATTGCTGCTGTTTAGTTATCTTGTGGAGTATTCTTATGCAAAC